GCCTTACCATTTCTTTAGAGCGCATTGCAATACTCTGCTTCTTAATGGCTGCTATTTAAATGAACCTGTCGCATTGCATTGCCGCAGTTCTCCTATAGCGCATGTGCTTGGAGAACATGCAAACTCCACAGAGAAACGCCAACTCACCCAGCCAGGACTCGAACCAGCGACCTTCTTGCTGTGAGGTGACAGTGCTAACCATTTTTAATGTTAACATTTGTAATATATATATATATATATATATATATATATATATATATATATATATATATATATTTCTTTTGCTAATTAAAATCCAGGTCATTTAATTCTATGTCTTATTCTATACCCCCAATCCTATCTAAACACGGCAACTATCCTAACAGCTACTAATACAAAGTAAAAAGTTGGGTGTTTACTGAGCTCTTATTGGTTAGGGGTTTGTTAATAGTGAGAATTGTACCTTAAAATAATAACACAAATCCTTTCGATGCATCAAAATTCAGCCTTGGTGTGCAGACAAAACCCACAATATTATTTAAAGTAAATAAAGATTATTAAAGTATGTCTTGGATTAGTGCAGTAGAATGTCATGTTTAATTCAACACAGCGCTTGACATTTCTTTGTAATTATTTGTGAAATGTACTCTGTGCGTAAACAGTTTCAGTGTAAATGTTTAGTCATTCTGCACCACCTGAAGTTTGATGATGGATTCACTCTTTAAACTCAGCAGCAGCTCTTGAGCTCAAGACTAAATCCTGATAAATTAGAGGAGTTTATAAGAGCGTCACATCTATTATAGCCAAATCCATCTCCCTACAGTTCCTCGTCCTTCTGCTCTTTACTTCTTTCTTTTCCTTTTTTTCAGCATCCTCTGAGATCTTGGCATTCGTTATTGCAGCGCTTTAATGCTGGTTAATAATAACACCAAAATCTGTTCTTGAATGTCATCTCCGACTGGCATCTTCTCACTGTCCATTTCATCACATGGCAACATAATTAAGCTCTCCAGCAAAAACAAATGCATATGTTTCTCGTCTGTCTTTGCAGCGGGAAATTAAATCTGCAACTTTCAGATTGAAAAACGATGCTGGCAGAAGATTAAGATGAATTTCCTTTGATTAGGCTGAATTGTTGCCAGCGTTTACATTTGCATCTCCTCATTTAGCAGATGCTTTTATCAAAAGCGACTTACAAATGAGGAATATTACAGCGCAAGCGATTCATCACCGGGAGACAGTAGCATTAAAAAATACTGCAGTAACATACATGTCCTGCCAAACTTCTCTACGTATTCACTTCATAACAAAGTGACGCACAACAATGAGCAGATGCAGCCGTCTGTGGCCTTTAGCACCGATTCACTGGAAAAGCACCACATTTATTAAAGTTTAATAGAGTCTTTACAGTCTTCTGCACTTCAGCCCAAGAGAGAGAGACCTTATTGATCAATATTTCAGTGTAACCTTCCCATCTCACTGTCCTGCAGTCTAAACACACTTCTGTTTACTACACACACACTTCACACTTTTGTTCATTTCTACATATATATTGTGATTTGTTTTTTAAATTGGCACCTATATTCTGATTATAACCCCAAACTTAAAAAATAATTTTATTTCCATCTATATTCTGATTAAATACACCAAAAATTAGTTTCATTTTCATCTATAATCTGATCAATACACCAGTCTTTGGTTTATTTCCTAGCTACTCTATACAATACATGAAGTTTTAATTTAATTCCTTTCCATATTCTGATTAAATAAGCCAACTTTTACATCTTAATTCCTCTCTATATTCTGTTTAAATACACCAGATTTTACACTTGAATTCCTCTCTATATTCTGATTAATATATGTCAAATTTTACAATTTAATTCCCATCTAAATTATGATTACATACAGTTAAAGTCAGAATTATTATCTCCCCCCGTTTATTTTAGTTTAACTGAGAGAAGATTGCTTCAACACATTTCTAAGCATAATAGTTTTAATAACTCATTTCTAATAACTGATTTATTTTCACTTTGTCATGATGACAGTAAATAATATTTTACTATATATATTTTTAAGACACTTCTATACAGCTTAAAGTGACAGTTAAAGGCTTAACTAGGTTAATTAGGTCAATCAGGCAGGTTAGGGAAATTAGGCAATGATGGTTTGTTCTGTAGACTATCAAAAAAAAAAAATAGCCTAAAGGGGCTAATAATAATGGTGATGGTAATAATGGTGTTTAAAAAATTAAAAACTGCTTTTATACTAACTGAAATAAAACAAATAAGACTTTCTCCAGGAGAAAAAATATTATCTGACGCACTGTGAAAATGTCCTTGCTGTTAAACATCATTTAGGAAATATTAAAAAAAAGAAAAAAAAAATCAATGGTGGGCGAATAATTCTGACTTCAACTTTACACAAATTTTTTGTTTAATTCCTCTCTATATTCTGATTAAATACACCAGATTTTATATCTTAAATCCTCTCTGTATTCTGATTAAATACACTCAAGTTTAATTCCTCTCTATTGACCTTATTCTAAAATGCGGAAGTGCGCCTGTTTTCGCGATTGTCTTAGAAATTCCGATTCAGTCGCCTATGGGAGAAATGACTAGGAATAATAAACGGCAGAAAACGGTCAAACTACTTGCTCTACAAACAAATGTTTGCATGACTAAACAGACCAAGAAGAATAATATAATAAGGAAATATCAAATTGCAACATCAAGCAGCGTAATGAGCAGTTTTTAACGTCAAAAAATGAATGGAAGTGAATGAGACCGGAAGCCTCGAGCCAAAAAGATTCAAATGGCTGCGCCCGCTCGTCTGCGGAGAATAAGGTCAATATTTCAGATTAAATACACCAATTGTTTGTTGAATTCCTACCTATATTTTGATTTAATACACTAGATTTGTATAGTTTAATTTCTCAGAAAATTAATTGCTATTTATTTTCTGATTAAATACACCAAAGATCGGATTAATTCTTATCTATATTTCAAATTAAATGCCTTAAATTTAACAGTTCAATTTCTATTTATTTTCTAAATTAATACAACAAGTTTTACAGTTTAACTCTTACTTTTTTCTGATTATTCACAAAATTTGACAGTTTAATTCCTCTATATATTCTGATTAATGCCGATTTCCTGTTTAATCCTAACTATATTTTGATTAAATACACATAATTGTACAGGTTAATTGATATCTATATTCTGATTACACCAGATTAAAATGTTTCCCCTTATCTTTAGCTCAGTTTTATTAAGCTGTTTGTACATCTAACATTTTTCACCTGGTTTATATGACATTTTATTTCTAAAAGCATACAGTTCTGCATATGTACTTTTCTCTCTCTGTTGTGACCAAACAGATGTAAGCTTTAATTGTATAACTTTTATTGTTGTTTTAATGAATTGTACTAATTTTGTTCAGCACTTTGATTATAAACCTTGCTTACTTTACTTACCAATGTTAACAAAATCAAACAATGTTTCTCCAAAGTTCAGATTTCTGTCCTGGAATAGTATGCAAATTAGAGCCTATTTAATTATTTAATGCCTTGCCTGCATATTTAAACAACATTGCCTGAACTTGTAAAACAAAACAACCACCTTAATGCACTGTGATTAATCAACTCTGGAAGTGTGTTGATTAATATTTGCACTGTGTTCACCTGTGGTGTCTTCCCTCATTGTAAAAACAGTTTTAGCAGCGTAATCACATCAGATGATATTGCTTCTGCTTTATTCAGCCTGAGCACATTGCGTTGTAGGACACAATATGCTGCATCGGTCAGTGTGTCTTTGCATGTATTTACTGGCATGTCAGTTTTTTTGCCAAGTACGATGTGATCCTGGATTAACATCTATGCAACATAATTTTTGTTGGAAAATGTAATCCATACCTATTCCCTACCCTGGAGCCCAAAATTGTAGGTAGAAGTGCATAACCCTAACCGTAAGCCCACACCTAACCTAAACTGATCTCTTAATTTAGATTGGCTGATTGGAATGTTGTTCCAGGATCAACATAGATGTTAATCCAGGAACATGTCCTACTTGGTGAAATCAGGTTGGCATGTTTATTGTATCAACATGTGAATTAACTGGTTCAAAACAGTTGGTCAGCAAAAATAATGCAAAATTGAGGTTAATTGTGTCTAATTAGGAGATGACTATACATGCATTCATTTCTACTTGCCTTGATTACTGCAACTCTCTTTTCACCAGTCTTAGCAATTCATGCTTAAACAGGGTTTCTGCAGGTTTCAAAAAGCCCTCTAGTAATCGAGTTTGAGACCTATGCTCTAAGCAAACAGACACCAAATATATAAGTAGACATTTTCACGCCATCTCCAGAGACTAAATCACTGAGGAATATCCACAAGATAAATGTAAACATCACTGAATTGTTGCCCTGACAGGGACAAGTTTAAATGATCTATATGTGGAATTAAATGCAGTATATGGATGACAGTAATCTCTGTTTTGTTCTGTCGATATGTGCTCCAAATAATCACAGAATCGTGAAACAGATGGAAATATGAGAGGAATGTACTACATTTCTATGGAGATCAGTGTTTTTTGGTCTCCTCACAGGTCATGTGAGTGAAAACTTCCATTTTTTGTTGTACTCGTAATCTATTTTCATTTCTTATTCTTGATTCTGCTTTGTACGTACACTTAATTTTGATATTTTGTTTGTATCTTAGTCACGTTGTTATTATTTATTTAGTCCAGCGAGGGAAGTAGTGGCCTGTTTTATTATTTTTAGGGGAGTCTAGGTAAGATCTCTCCTTGAGAGCAGGTGTAGTCCCGATATTGTTCTTTAGCTGCCCTACCTGCTTAATGCATTATTTGGTTTGATAAATTTGTTGTTTCTTGTGTTTAATTACAACATTTATTAAAAAATACTGACGAGGACGACAATTTTCAAGCGCCCGGTGTATTTTTTTTCATGCCTTAATTTGAATGATCCAGATTTGGTTTTTGTGTCATAACTGTGTGTTGTTGTACCTTGCATCTTGGTCTTGGGTTTGCCACAGGGTTTGGTGGCGCTGACTGTGTTTGGACAGTTAGCATCCATCAGCGCTCGCTTTAGCACTCCAGTGCGAGTCTTCATTCCTGTGGTCGAATCACACTCTCCCCATGCCTGGAAATCATACTTACACTCACCTGCGCAAGACAAAACACACAAAACACCACAAAAGAGCGTTTGGGTTTGGACATAAAAATACACCTCAAATGTATAATCAAAACAAGCATGTGCACCTTTCAGAGTCAAAAATAATCTGTACATAATATATTTGATATGACATTAATAAACTGGGAATTATATTAGTAAATTAACCTCTAAAACACGTTCGGCACTGGACATGTTTACATGAATGTACAACTATCGACAAACCCCTGCAGCATGAAACATTGATCAATTCTTCAGATTCAAACAGACCTGAAATGTGAAAAATATGAATCCCATATAAGGGTTAACACAAGTTTTTGTTCTCAGTGTAAATGATTCATCGCAGCATGTAATTTTGAGGAAACAGAAGTATACAGGGAAACTTTCACCATGCAATAACTCCCAAAGTTCAAAACCTCGCTTTTTTCTTATTGAATATCCTGTTTCACTCGGATGTACATCAGATTATAGCAGTAAAACGGGTTGCAAACTTCACAAGGGAAAAGCAAACACAACTCAGACTACATTAAATACAGGTTCACTCACAACGAGGTTTGTTGCAGCGCACGGTTTGCTTTGTGAGGTGAATTATTGGCTGCCGAGAGCATGAGAACATCGAAATGCAATTTCACACGATAAACAATTTAGGTCTTGTGTTGGCTTGGCACTTGACGTGCAATGTAAAATCTGGATCCCGAAGCAAAAACAACTGAGAAGGTCTAATCTACAGTATACTAGGGTTTCTTTATATTATCTCTCTTCCCACAATACAAAAAGGTATTTCTAACGTAGAGTTATTGTCTTGTTTCAAGTCCAGATATTTACTAAATCAAGTAGCCTATTCTAGACAAGTAAAAAAAACTGACAATCTAAAACAAATATTGCATAACAGGGCTAATAATATTAAGCCTTAAAATGGCTTAAAACAACTTAAAACTGCTTTTATTCCAACCGAAATAAAAAAATAAGACTTTCTCCAGAAGAAAAAATAGAGGAAATACTGTAAAAAAAATTCCTAAGTTTGTTCAACATCATTTGGTAAATATTTAAAACACACACAGGAGGGCGAATAATTTTGACTTTATATCTGGACTAGAAAGAAGACAAAGACTCACAGTAAGAAAAGCATTTCTACAGTGCACTTCATCTTTCATTCATTCCTTCAGTGCATCGCAGAGATTTCTCGTGGTCTCCGCTGGAATGGATGGGGGTTAAACTGCTTCAATCAAGCACAAAATTGTCTCTAATGACATATTTAAAGGCAGAGAGAATGTAATTACATGCAGTAGCCCTCCGGCTGAATGGCCGCTGTCCTGAAACGAGACCCTCAAAAAATGAGGCCGGTGTGAAATAGAGCTCTTATAACTCCGGAGAAGAAATTCTGCAGCGTTTCGACGCTAAACTACACTGACACGGCTGCTGAACTACACAGAAATACAGCGAGGATTCATCACTCAACATTTAGTGTGATCATGTTTTATTAAGTCTGTGATTTTGATGTTCATTCGGAGTCTTACAGGCTCACAGGGAGAGGCTTCTTAGAGAAACACCCCACAGTTTCAGTGTTTGTTGATAGTTTATGTGCATACCTACAAATCCCAAGGGAAGGTGGCATATGCTCACTCACTCACTCACACACACACACACACACACACACACACACACACACACACACACACACACACACACACACACACACACTTTGGTATATTCTGCCAGCTTGTTTCTGGCTCTCGCTGCAGTCGTGTCATTTCTAAGGACAGAATTCTGTGGGAATATCCATCTTGTTACTCCTCAACACAGGATTATTCACAGTGTGAGTGTGTTAGTGTTGTGATTATTACCATTTTTCAAGATAAACCACAGCAAACTTTCAGAGAGTAAGATTATCATATCTAACTTTCATTATCATTAGAACCATGATTGATTATCGCGATTTTGAAAACTCACTGTAAATCCTGTAACATTGAAATTAACTAATCATAATAATTAGCTGTGGCCTCTCAGCAAGAAGGTCGCTGGTTGGAATCCCGACAGGGTCAGTTGGCATTTCAGTGTGAAGTTTGCATGTTCCCCCCATGCTAGTGTGGTTTTCCTCAGGGGGCTCCGGTTTCCCCCACAGTCCAAACACATGTGCTATAGGGGAATTGATTCATTAAATTGGCCGTAGTGTATGAGTGTGTGTGAATGAGAGTGTATAGGCATTCCTCATTGCAGGATTGCAGCTGGAAGTGCATCCTCAGTGTAAAACATATGCAGGAACAGTTGATGGTTCATTCTGCTGTGGCGACCGCTGATAAATAAGAGACTAAGCTGAGGGGAAAATTAACAATTGGCTGCAAAGTAAAAGCTTGTTTTTATAGATAACTAATACACACACACAAACATATATATATATATATATATATATATATATATATATATATATATATATATATAGTTAAAGTATACTGTATTCTTTTCATTTAAAGTGTGTTTTGCACATTATTAACTATATTGAGCTAAAGCTTGACTTAAAATTAAACAGAATTTTTTTTTTTTTTAATTGGTTAGAAAAATTGCTACAAGATATTTTCGTCAGCTTTAGTGAAAAACAAGGTAAACATGGATCCCTGTGAGGTAGTTTTCAAGTGCAGGCAAAGCAATCAATACATCCAATAAGAAAATCCAATGTACCCATAAAAACACAAAATCCAATGTACACTAAATAACACAAACACACAAAAAACTAATCTAAAATGCAGGGATCCATGTTCATGTTGTTTTTCCACCAAAGTGCATTAAGTTGAAAACTTTATTTGTGTTCATTTTAGATATAAAGATTGGTGGAATACTTTAATCCTCAAGCATACCTTATACTGTAGCCCTTAATCTTTCCCTAGTGGACATTTTTGGGCTCAAATGTAAACTTAATTTTTTAAACGAATTTCATATCACTGCCTTTGAAAAAAAAATCTAGCAATTCAGGAGGAAACCCACACCATGACGGGGAGAACATGCAAACTCCACACAGAAATGCCAACTGACCCAGCCTGGGCTTGAACTAGTGACCTTCTTGCTGTGAGGCAACAGTGCTAACCACTGAGCCACCATGCCATCCCTAGCAATTCATGTATTTTTTAATTTTTAGAAATGTTTATTTAAATACCTCTAAAAGTTCCTCTAAATTACCTCTGAAATGTTTAATTCCTTTAAAAAATGCATTTAAATACAAAATCTCCCATTAATTTACGACGGGACAAATTATGGAGTTATAAAGAGGACTTAACATTGCTTGCTCAAATGCCAAACTTATAAAAGGGAGCAATGTCTTAAACCACCCAGATTAAAAAAAGCAAAAAAAGAAAATGATTTAGCCCAATTATTTAAGTTAGATGTTTACATAAAAAAATATGCTTATTGTTTATGTTACAGGTAAAATATTTATTTTACTTCAGCAAAAACATTACTGCAGTCAGTTCAGACCAACCAATGTAATTTAATGTGTTTATTTATATAGTGCATTTATCGTGTATGGCACTGGTCTCAAACTCAATTTTGAGCACAGTTTAGCTCCAACCACCTCCAACTCACACCTGCTCAATAGTCTTTAATAGTACTGAACACTTTACTTAGATCAGTTGTTTTTGAATAGGGTTGGAGCAAAACTGTGCAGAGCTGCGGCCCTCCCGGAATCGAGTTTGCAATCTATGGTGTATGAATATACACACAAAGCGGTTCACCATTATGGGGGGGGGGGTCTCTCCACACCACCACCAGTGTGCAGCATCCACCTGGATGATACAACTGCAGCCACAGGACAACAGTGCCAGTGCTTCACCACACACCAGCTATAAGTGGAGAGACAGTCAAAAAGCCAATTTAGTGGATGGGGATGATTGGGAGGCCATGATGGGTAATGGTGGATATAGGGTCGATGAAGAGAATTTGGCCAGGACACAGGGATTACACCCCTTACTCTTTACGAGAAGTGCTATTGGATTTTTAATGACCACAGAGAGTCAGAACCACAGTTTAACGTCTCATCTGAAAGATGGTGCTCACTGACAGTATAGTGTCCCCTTTGCTATACTGGGGCATTAGGACTCACACGGAGCGCAAGTTGAGTGCCCACTGCTGGCCACACAAACACCACTTCCAGTAATAGAATCAAAACCTAAAAAACTGATATGAAATTTTAATCTCAGTATATATTTCTAGTGTGTGTGTGTGTGTGTGTGTGTGTGTGTGTATTCTGCACTAAAAAAGTCTTCCTGCCTTAAAAGTCCCCCCATCTTACATCAGTCAAACTGGCCACAAAATACTTAATTTAAACTTTGCATAACTTACATAAATTAGTTTAAACCTGATTATTATTATATTAAAATAAGTTTTAAATAAAGTAAATTTAAAATAAGCAACATAAAAATATTCGTTGTCTTGACTTTGTGTCATTGATTTTTTTACAGTGTGTGTTTTTCTGACTTCCCACCTCCAAACTGCTTCTTCCAGTTGCATGGGATTTTGCAGCGCTGGGTTTTGATGGTCTGTTTGCAGTCATTGCCGGAGCGTGTGCCCTCTCTGGTTCCCAATCCGCAGTCGCCCTCATTGGCCACACACACACTCCACTGCCACTCTCCACAGTCCGATTTACGCTCTTTCTTACCTGTCAAGAGTCGGAGAACACACACAGATTCATTTCACAGCGCCATGTGCAGAAGAGAGAATGTGTGTGGGCAGCATATTGTGATATAATGCAGAACTGTGGGATAATATAGAGGTGTGTGGGGTAATACTGAGCACTGAGAAGTACTGTAAAGCAGCAGGGTGAAATTTAGATCAATTTATAGCAATATAGAGTAATAAAGATGATGTGTGTCATGATACAGAGTAGGCATGCAGAGTCTATTGTTTCAGCATTGATATTGCAATGTGATACAACAGTTACATCTCAAGGATGTTCAGTGTGGACTCTGGATTATAGATTAATAGATCCGTAGTTCAGAAAACATATGGCTTTTTATATTGCACGTGTTTTTAAGGTCTGTGAGCATTTCAAGTTTAAAGCATTCGGGCACAAGAAATCGTTAATATAAAAAAGATTAATTACTAATTTATATGATAAAGATTATACAGTGATATCATTATTAAATTCATTATTCAATATCTCTATATTCAGTTGTTGGACTTTCATTTATTTCATTTGTATCTTTGCAATATCATATCTATCTATGCTTATAATTAGTGCTATATTTTACTAGCAGATGCACCAACAAAATCATCTTAATCATTTAAAAATAATAAATACTTTACAAATAGACTAATTCAAGTCATGGTATGCACATTGCAGTCTAAATCTCAAAAATGATACGTTACTTTAGTGATATGTATATATTAATAGAGTACAATTGTACAGGTATATTGTAATAGATTTGTATAGGGTACTGTTAAGCAGTATATAGAGCAGTATATGGTAATATAGAACAGCATAAGGTAACATTAGCCAGTGTATGCTGTAGCAGTGTAAGTGATATAGAGCTGGCTATAACAGTGTTGGGTAATATAGAGCAGTGTAGGGTAATGTATAGCAGAAAGATGTAATATAAAGCAGTAAGTGGTAATATAGAGCAGTAAATGGTAATATAGAGCAGTGTGGAGAAGTACAGAGCAGAGTATGATACAATAAAGAATTATATAGTATATAGAGCAGTGTGGAGTAATATAGAGCATAGTATGCTACAATAGAACACTGTGGGGTATTTTAGAGCAGTAAGTGGTAATACAGAGCAATAAATGGTCATATAGAGCAGTGTGGAGTAATGCAGAGGAGAGTATGGTACAATAAAGCAATGTGGGGTAATATAGAGCAGTAAGTGGTAGTATAGAACTGTAAATGGTAATTTAGAGCAGAGTGGAGTAATTTAGAGCAGAGTATGGTACAATACAGCATTATATGGTAAAAAAGAGCACTGTGGTGTAATATAGAACAAAAAAGTGGTAATGTAGAGCAGTTAGTTGTAATATAGAGCAGTAAATGGTAATATAGAGCAGTAAATGGTAATATAGAGCAGCAAATGGTAATATAGAGCAGTAAATGGTAATACAGAGCAGTAAATGGTTATATAGAGCAGTAAATGGCAATATAGAACAGTAAATAGTAATACAGAGCAGTAAATGGTAATATAGAGCAGTAAATTATAATATAGAGCTGTAATGGTATTATTAAACAGTAAATGATAGAGCATTAAATGGTAATATAGAGCAGTAAAAGGTAATACAGAGCAGTAAATGGTAATATAGAGCAGTAAATGGTAATATGGGGCAGGTGTGGGGTGATGTAGAGCAGAATATGGTAATATAGAGCAGTGTATGATAATATACAGCAGTAAATGGTAATGTAGAGCAGTAAATGTTAATATAGAGCAGTTTGAAGTAATACAGAGCATTAAATGGTTATACAGAGCAGTTAATGGTAATATAGAGCAGTAAATGGTAATATTGAACAGTAAATGGTTAAATTGAGCAGTAATCGGTAATATATAGCAGTAAATGGTAATATAGAGCAGTCTGGGGTAATATGAAGCACTGTGGGCAAAAATGGAGCAGCGCACATGATATAAAGCAGTATATGGAGATAAAGACCTGTCTGGTTTATTATGGAGTGTGTGGGTGAATACAGGAGTATGGGGTAATGTTCCGATACCTTGTTTTTCTGTTTTCCCACCATCTGCAAGTGTCGCTGTGACAGTCAGGAGGGCTAATAAAGCCACACACACCCACTGCTGCTGCATGCTGGGAAAAAAATCAAAATAAATGCACATTATGAGTATGGCTCATAATACAATAACACACAGCTCACAAATATCAACCTGTAAATGCTTCATCAACATACACCCAGAGACCCTCTCTCTCTTTTTCTTTTGGTCTTTCTCTCTCTGTGTCTCAGGAGGAAAAGTAAAGGTGGATTGAATAATTAGAAAGCAATTTTATCCCAAACGCTCGGCTGCACTTCAGTTACAGTAGCGGTGCAGCCCATCGGCGACATCACCTCCATTTCAATTACTTATGAGCCTCCCTCTCTCCTTTTCTCTTCCTATTTCTGGTTGGCTGATTTCCTGCTGTGCCCATAAGCATTGGCTCGCTGGACTCTTTTTTTTTCACAGTTCTGCTTCATGTTAAAGCCATTTTCTCTCATCGAGTCTCTAGAAAATGGAAATCTGTCAATAACACGTGTCCCGGTCGAAATTCAGCAAAAAATAGATTACAATGAAACATTTGTGTTCACATGTCTCCCAATTTTACATAATCAAACATCATTACTGAGAATGACAATAGAGCAGTGTAGAGTAATAAAGAGCAGCATGGGTAATACAGATGGATTTGGGGTATTATAGAGTAGTATAAGGTACTACAGTATAGCATGTGGTAATATAGATGACAAAATAAGGAATAATGTAAGTGATATAAAGTATTATGGGGTAATACAGATGGTGTTAAAAAACTGGCAGCCAAGACTGCTTTTCAATAATTGCATTAAGATTTAAATAATGCCATTAACAACAATGAACAGCAGATTTACAGTGCTGCTATTATTTTCATGCTCTTTCTTACCTGTCAAGAGTCGGTGCACACACACACACACACACTCATTTTATTTTGTTTAATATTTGCAATAGTGCATAAAAGCTGTCTTACTTTCACATTTGTGGATCCTGTGTATGATCTCAACAAAAACTGCAGTCTGAAATGGCTGGAATAGAGGTATATACTTGATTAATAAAAATAATAGTAAATAATGGGTTTATTATTATGCAATGTGTTTGATTTGTTTGTTCTCATAAACCTCAAACTACATTGACCCCCTCGTAATATAAAATAAAATTAATAAAGAACTTAATTAAGAACTTTACATATGTAGTAGGTATTTGCCATAGAGCTTTTAATATGTGTGACCCTTGCACAGGTACAATACCTTGGATTTTTTTCTCTTTAATGCCAAAAATCATTAGAAAATACATTACATATCAGGTTCCACAAATTACATTTAGTGAATTTCCCACTGTAAATATATGAACAATCAATTTTTGATTAGTAATGTACAAGGGTAAGAACTCCATTTGCACAATTTTAAAAGGTGACAAATTATGTTCAATCCTAACAAAACATACAGGAAAAGCTATTTATTCAACTTCTAGGTGATGTATAAATCTAATAAATAAATAAATAAATAAAACGCTTATGGCCAATAATAAATATTATTGATATAAATTATAGTTCAATAATAAAAAAATAATTTTATAAAAATATATTTTTAGAACAGCTATGACAAATTCAGGACTCCAGCTGTTGTGCTGAACTGTTATGAAAATAGATGCATGTGATGCTTCTAAAAGATTCGTCTCATGATTTCCGCCTCTGTATCAGAGCTAATCATGGTGAAATCACACTTAAAATTGACTGGTGTTGTGGACCAGGGTGACAAATATATAGAGCTCAGTAACAAAATCATTTTATAACAGCTACAGTATGAGAAATACAGTAATAATATGAATTACAGTACAGAATGTGCTGAAGTGTTATGAAAATAGATGCATGTGATACTTCTGAGGGATTCGTCTCATGGTTCCAAACAAAACATACATGAAAAAGCTATTCATTTAGCTTTTAAGTAATGCATACATCTCAACTGTAATAGATACACTTAAAACTGACTGGTTTTGTGATTCAGGGTGACTTATATAGAGTTAAAAATGTATATTTTAAAACAGCTATGAGAACTACAGGACTCCATCTGCAAAACACCCAAATGAACAATGAGAATTTCAGTACAGACTGTGCTGAACTGTTTTGAAAATAGATGCATGTGATGCTTCTGAGAGATTCGTCTCATGGTTTCTGTCTCTATCACAGCTAATCACGGTGAAATCACACTTGAAACTGACTGGTTTTGTGGGTCAGGTTGACAAAGAGAGTTAAAAAAATAATAATTATAACAGCTATGAAAATACAGGACACCAGCTGCCCATATGAACTACACTAATGAGAATTTCAGTACAGACTGTGCTGAAGTGTTATGAAAATAGATGGATGAGATGTTTCCGAAAGATTCATCTCATGGTTTCTGTCTCTATCAGAGCTAATCAGGATGAAATCACACTTAAAATTGACTGGTTGTGTGGGTCAGGATGACTTACTGTAAATAGAGTTCAATAACAAAATCATTTTATAACAGCTACAGTATGAGAGAAACTCCAGCTGCAAAACACCCATATGAACAACAATAATGAGAATTTCAGTACAGAATGTGCTGAACTGTTATGAAAATAGATGCATGTGATGCTTCTGAGAAATTCGTCTCATGGTTTCTGTCTCTATCAGAGCTAATCACGGTGGACGTGTCTCTGGCGGGCCGGTGTGAGCAGCAGGCGCTCACACACACCTGAGCTGTTCCACTTCAGACACACTGTGAAATCGCCAGTGCCACATAATAACCGTGATTTCAGTCAGACGGGCAAAAACCTGCCAATCAAAGACTCATGAGTCATGACATATAAAGCAGTTCGGATCGTTAAAACATAATCTGCCCTCCAAACCCTGATTAGCAACACTGCAAGTGAATCTGTGATACGGGATGAGAGAGAGGATTAGCCTTGAGTGAAGTGACAGGAGCAATGAGATTTGAGGACTAGACAGCAGGTTGAGGTGCCATGTAGAGTCTAATTCAATACCCAGTGTCGACCCAACTCCCGCAAACATGACGCAAGACTGCATTTCCCTCATACAAATGCAACACTCTCCTATCCCAAATGCACCAACTTTGGAACACTTCAAACAAGCGATTAAGACGTAGCTGGATTTTAATTGGAGTATCTTATATTATTTTTATGTTTATTAATTATAAACCTTTAAACCATAAATGAAACCTGTGAGCTTAATAATGCATTATTATTATTATTAAACAAGTAAATTGAAATGGAATCAAACTAAAGTAACTAGCTTTGTAAATAACACACGTTAGTACACAACATATGAGCATTATTAAACAATACTATATAAACTCCTGCAAACATGATGCATGACTGCATTTCCCTTATACAAATTCAACACTCTCATTTTCGAAATGCACAAACTTAGGATCACTTCAATTAATTGATTAAGCCAATTATTATTAGAGAAGAAACATTAAAATGGCATTAATTCAAGCTAACCTGCTTTTTTAATATCACGTTAGTAGATACACAACATATGTGCATTAATAATCAATACTATATAAACTCCTGCAAACATGACGCATGACTGCACCAATTTTGGGTCACTTGAAAAAAATATTAAGGTGAATTTATTTAAGCTTGTTTTTTAATTGATGGTGCACTTTGTGCTATTTGTATGTGTCCATTTCCTATGAAGCTTTGGTTTTCAGAAAATGCAATATTATTATTTAATAATATTATTGTTGTAAAAGTAAAAATAAAACAGAATTAATTCTAGCTAGCCTGATTTTAGAGCCCTGCGTTTGAACACAAGCCTGTCGGGTCCAGCTTTTTAGGCCCCTAGGGCTAGGTTTTGGGCCAATTTTCTTGTCATAGCTACCACGCATATCGGGGTTTCGGGCCTGCTTAAGACAAAACCTTAAAAAAACTAAGATTAATGAGATTAAATGTGTGCAGTACGGAAGTGCTAGTGATGCCTTGCGTATGGAGATTTCCAGCCATGTGCAATGGAGAACATAAAGAGAAAAATGGCCAATAGCGAACTTAAAACAAAAAAATGTGGGAGGAAAGGCAAATTTCTGGTCAACTTTTCAAATAGTGACAACTTTAAATGTTGAGCCAACTAGTTATGCACAATACACAACTTTATTAAATTCACTGTGGATAACATGCTGCTTGGATATCGACTAAAACTTACATTTAGAAAAAAACAACAACAAAAAAACACCCATATGAACTACAATAATGAGATTATCAGTACAAAATGTGCTGAACTGTTATGAAAATAAATGCATATGATGCTTCTGAGAGATTCGTCTCATGGTTTCTGTCTCTTTTAGCGCTAATCACAGTGAAATCACATTAAAACTGACTGGTTTTGTGGTTCAGGGTGACACATGGAGAGTTAAAAAATAATAATTATAACAGCTATGAGAAATACAGGACTCCAGCTGAAAAACACCCATATGAACTTCAATATTGAGAGTTTCAGTAAAGATGTGCTGAACTGTTATGAAAATAGATGCATGTGATGCTTCTGAAAGATTCATCTCATGGTTTCTGTCTCTATCAGAGCTAATCACGGTGGATGGTGCAATGGAGAACATAAAGAGAGAAATTGCCAATGGCGAACTGAAAACTGTGAAAAACGCCAGAGGAAAAGCAAACTTCTGGTCGACTTTTCAAACAGAAACAACTTTAAATGTTGAGCCAACTGGTGATGCACAATGCACAGCTTGAGTTAACTCACTGTTGGCAGCATGCCGCTTGGATATCGATGTCACTTAAAAAACTAAAACTTACATTAAAAACAAACAAACAAACAAAAAAACTCCAAACATTTCTCTAAATTATTCTAAAAAAAAAAAAAAAAAAAAAAAACATCAGCTTTCTATTAAATTCAAATCTGGTTTAATGGCTGTAACAGTATAAGCTGTTTGGCAGAAAAAACAGGCTTCGGGTCAAAACTTTTGATGAGCTGCTGGACAAGGGCCAGGATACAGCCTGTGCGTCTTGGGCAAGGGCCGGGCTAGAGCTTAGATTTAAGGCCCGTGCAGGGCTCTATATGCTTTTTTAATAATA